CAATGCAATTCTCATGTCGATAGTTGAGTACAGCCTCAGTCAGGGTGAAACAATTATATATTATTATTTGTTACTACAACTGATTAAAGTCTTTACATTTGAATGTTACATGAATGAAAAGAGTCTGCAGAGAAAACTTTACTTCCTGTCAGTACCTGGTTCCCTCTGGAGAGTTAGCAGACCACAGCGGTTCATAATCGTACCTGTGAAACAAAAACATAGTGATATTAATATTAAAAACAAGAAATATTTCTCGTCTATGCAGCCTGGAACAATGCTCTACTTTATATATAGTATATACATATAAAATTCTGCATTTAAGAAAATGTTTCCTTAAAACAAAAACTTAATATGACATTTAAAGGGTTGTTTTTGTTGTTTTTTAGTTTTTTAACAAATGAAACAAAAACATTGGAGTTCATTTTAAACGCCCTGTATTGTTTTTCTTTAGATTTTTTTTTTTTTTTTTGTTATTGTTCATTAATAAGACAAAAGTATTTCTTATCCGATTAATCAACGGTATATTCGATAGAATTATAAACTATAGCTGCAGCGTTTGTTGAGTTTGAGCATAACTGTCCTTTAACCTCTTAGGAATTTTGCAGTTGATTGGGGTGAAACTCGGGACAAATGTAGTGTGGGTGCAGGTAACATTTAGGATTTCAATGAATCATGGACGAAGAAGCACATTAGCAGCAAAAGTAAAAAGAAAAGTAAATAAAAACTTAACTGGTAAAAACAAGAGCTCCAAGAGCTTTATTTCGCTTAATTTCCGGTGTGTGTTGGGGGCAACAACAAAGGAAAAAAAGATGCGCTACCGTAAAGCTTTCTGAAAAGGCGCAAGAAATTTAAGCGTCGGATAAGAGGCGGCTGACTTCACTGTGGCACACGAACGACTGGGGAGGGGGGGCTCTACTGGTAACATGGCGCTTCTTATGAATACAGCGCAATCTATTCAGACACTTTATCAGGTGACAATGATAAAAGGGTGATTAAAAATCTATAACAGAATATGCGCACACAGAGCGATGAAATAAAAATCTTAATTTAATTTACTATTATAACGCTGAGTGTACTCTCAGTGTTGCTGTTTATTTCTAATATGGCAGCTGCGCATTAGAGCTCCGAAACTTTAAATATTAAAACATCAAGAGTTACTTTCGCGTAGATGCTTCGGTTTGTCAGCAGATCATATCAAATTATCACTGAAAAATATGAAATTAATTATCAGTTGAGTCAAAAACATCGACCAAATTGATTTTTATTTATTGAACTGAAATCCTTGAATGCGTTCTGTGTTTGTATCTGCAAATCCAACAGTGTGAAACAATTCATTCCAATCAATTTAAAACTGCAACTCTGAACATATCCTGCTCCTGACCAACGCAGTAGAGTGCGTTACATAGAGTGCATACTTTATGGGAGCGGTTTTCTTAAGAGAAAACAAATTCTCCTTGACCCGTTAAATCGTCTAAACGTCAATGACTCGACACGCGTCTTACTAAGATTGCGTCTTCGCTTCTACAAAGATTCGCATAATGTGAGGAATCTGCGACTAGAAAAATATGGATTATTTTTACACGGAGTGAAATGTTGAAAACCAGTTAAGATGGAAAACCGAGGACTTTTTCCATGCGTTGATAACTTCTGACTTGAAACTTGCATCTTTCTTCTTGTGACAGAGTGACTGTGCACCTAGCCAATAATAACCTTTAGAACCTAAGGCAGTAGTTCTTTTTCACAAAACACAAAACTATTTGAAATTGTTTTGAAACAGTTTTGAAACTTTTTTTTTTTTTACTTTGACCCGAAAGCATTTTTTTTTAAAGGCAATAATGAAAACTGAAATAGAAACCAATGATGTGACATTAGGAATGAACTGACGGACAAACTCATGAAGAACAGGATGGTTAAAATCCACCTGTCAAATATGAAAATATGGCACTCGAGACCCCAAATGAAGAATCGTGCGCAATAGAAGCTTACCTGT